CGTTTTATAATGCAGTTCAATTACTCTTGATAGCAGGCGTTCAACAAGATCTCTTTTCATTTGTCGCTGATGAGACCTCCTGACTTTCGGAGGGATCCAATTTAGTTAGTTCAGTTTATTTGATTTTTAGTCATTTAGTTAAATAGTCAGATAGTCGTAGGTCTTGTCCTGACACCTATTAGTAAAGGCTTCATATATAGACAAAGTTAGCGAGCCAATTCAGTCTTGAGCATTGAGAAATTTTAACATTATTCTTATTAACATTATTTATATTCAGATTTATTTCTGACTTTTGTATTAGATATCTTTAATTGATTTTAAATGTCTATTTTATAAGACTTCTTTATGTATGTATAGTGTTTCGCTCAGTAGTCAGTCAGACCAAGGGTTCACTTGGGACTACCAATGGTTCTGAGTGTCGGCCACCTTCAAGGTGTAGGCTTGGGGTGTGACAGGTAAAATGAAAAATATTTAATTAATTCAATCCTAATTTAATAAGTGATCAAGTAATATGAGACAAATACTATTAGTAAGATACTCATCTAATATGAAACAAAGGTAGTAGTATCGTATATAAAGATGCTTTCCAGACCCTATATTTTTCCAAAAGAAATCATTTTATGATCCAATAAAAATATACTACTCCCTCCGTTCTTTTTTAGTTGTCATGTTGCGCATTTCGAAAGTCAATTTGACTAATTTTCAAAGTTAAATTAGATTACATTAATTCAATATTTTGAATTAAAAAATTTAGATATTCAAAATACGAAAAATACTATAAATTACAATTTTCTGCATATCTATATGATGAAAAATACATCATAAAATGTTGGTCAAAGTTGTTATTGTTTGATTATAATAAAGAAAACTATGACAACTAAAATATTAGTTGATCACTTTTCTAAAAATAATTGTCCTATATTAGTTGTTTACCTTATTAAGTCAAAAAAATATTAATTAAATTCTTCCTATATTACTCTTTCCATTAATTCGTTTTAAAAGTGTTCACATTTATTTGTGAAATCCCAAAATAAAATTTTAAGGAATGAAATAGTTAGGAAAATTACCTTCTTATTTATAATTTTTTAATACATATATAAAAATAAAAGTAATCAACTAATATAAGACGGATGCAAATAAGCATTATTTTGCAAATATTGAATTCAAATTCAAAACTTTTCCACCTACCTATCTTTACTCCAACCAAAAGGTAGTAGGTAAGAAAGGCTCTCTTTCTCAAGCAACGTGCTTATGCTTAAATGTGTGCATTTTATCATATTCAATTATTAAAGCACAATCTTTGTTGGCAAACAGTTCCTTTTTACTAAAAAAATAATAATATACTTCTTCCGTTCTAATTTATATGACATATTTTTTATTTTGAGGTTCAAATAAATTTATTTTTGATTATAAATTTTTTATATATCTTTTAAATATATTGGATTGTCAATTATTGTGAGTCATAGTCCTCTTTACGTAATTTACAAATATATATATATTATTTTAAAAAAAGTGAAGATTTCATATGCAAATTATCGATCAAACTCAAACGGTTTTACTTTCGAAAAAGGAAATATGTTCACCGACACCTGCATTTTTTTAAGTAAAAAATAAAGTGGATTCCTGGAATGGTTATCCAACTTGTAAATATATATTTCTAAAATAATTTTTGAATAATATAATTATCATATTATGCACATTATTTCCAATAAGGTGTAAAGTGATGATAAAAACAAAAAATTTAACCGAAATTTATACATTTTTCTTTTTTAGAACCATTTTTATCCAATATTAACCCATTATATAAAATTAATTTGACTCACTTCAAATACAATTCTTTTTCATGAAAAATCACTATCATCTTCTCCTATTATGTTGCATAAACATTAATCTCAAGTTTGCAATTAGAAAGATTTGCTATTTAAGAAATTCCTCTTAAATGAAAATAAAGATCAGCTTTAAGAAAAACATCGGAAATGCATTATTGCCTATTATTAGATTGAATTTTAAACAAAAAGGCAAATTAAAAAGATAACTATTTAAGGCTCTGTTAAAAATAAGTGATACATTTATAAGCTTTTTAACGAAAAATTGCATCTTCATTTTGCTCTAATTATATGAATAAAATTTATTTTATTAAAAATCTATTTGAAATATTGGATCTAAAAATGGATTCTAAAAATATACATGTATAAGCCTCCGATAAAATTTAATTTTTTCGTTACTTTTCATCACCTTATTGAAAATATGTGCATAGTTTGATAATTATATTATCTAAAGAAAATCAAAATAACTCTAATGAGATATTTTTACAAATTTAATACTCCATTTGTCCTTAATTAGTTGTCTATTTTTGAATTGACACACCTATATTAAGAAAATAATTAGTGACATAATGAGTTTACCATTTTACCCTTAATAATTATGAAGTGGATGACAAAATTTACATTTTTCAAAGTAATTAGTCATTTAATTGAGGATATAATAGGTGAAAAAAATTGTTTTTTCTTGATTTGTCAAGATGGACAAATAATTAGGAACAATTAAAAATGAAAATGAACAAGTAATTAGAGACAGAAAAAGTAAACATTTAAGATGTATTCTCCTTAAAATATACGTAATTTATTTCTTTTTTAGTTGTTCACTTTCTATTTTACACGTTTTAATAATAGAGTTGATGAAGGTTGTGTTGGGCTTCATTTTAGCAATTTGCCCAGATGGGACAAAATGACACCCGTTAGGAAACAAAAGTCTCCTAGGGACAAGTGCAAGTGGTTTTTTCTTGGTCACATAAAATTATTTACTTTTACTTAGAAGAAAATGATTTAGTTTAATTTGATACAAATTCTAAAAAAGTAAAGATTTTTTTTTTTAATTTTATGATTTTAAATTAAAGCTGTGTCACATGTATCAAAATGTCTTTTAAAGTGTTGAATAGCATAAATCATATGAAAATTTTAGAGGAATTTGCTGGATACCAAATAAAGACATATAATGTGTTGAAGATCCATCAAAGTGAAGAAAGTGACCATGTATGCAAATGACGCTCTCATAAATTCAAGAATTCACAAAAAGAAGATAACCAAATAAGGTCCTTATCTCATTAAGGGTAAAATTGTCAAAAAAGTACCTTCTTAATTTTCTTAATATAAATAATAATTTTTATTATTTTGGAAAACTTAGATTACGAAGATTATGATGAATTGAATATTAGAAAGCTTTGAACCTTGTAGTTTCTAGATCAAGCCTAGCATTAGTGTAGTTCATAGTTGGTAATTGTAGTTGTATGGTTAGGGTGGATTCCCAGTACTGTTTGTGTTAATTTCTTCTAGCTTAATCAACCATCGAGCTATCCTCTTGGTAGATTCAATTTGGTTTTTTCATTTTTTATTGAGTTCAAATTATTATTATTTGATTGGATTCAATTGAAAGGTAAAGCTATAAAGTCCTTTGTTGCGAATAAATTTAATTAGATTTTGATAATTTCACATATATTTTCTTGTTTCTTTCAGTCGACCCTTTGATTCTTATAAAAAAAAAATAGATCGTTCTTTTAAAATCAAAGAAAATATAACTTCTAATTTTATTTTTAATAAGTATGTTTAGTAGTTTTTCATGTAGGAGTAGTTTCTAAAACAACAGCGTACAAATTCAGTTAATTCTTTTATAAAACAATACTATTTTCTCCTTTTAAAAAAAATGGTCTAATTTGACTTAACATAAAGTTTAAAAAATTAAAAAAGATTTTTCAATTTTATAGTCCTAAGCTAAAGTTATGCTAAATATACTAAAAATATATTTTTAATCTTATAATTTTAAACATATTACGTGGAAAACTAAAATTAAAATATCACCAAAAAAATAAATAAATCATTCTTTTTAAAATAGACTAAAAATCCCGATATGTCAAATTTGAGACAGAAAATAAAGTGTGATTTGACCCACATGTACTCCTTCACGTAAAAATAATACTACTAGATTCTGTTTTTGAAGCCACTTGATGAATGAATTACCAGTCAAAAAGTCAAAAGGTTTAATCATTTTTGTCATTAAATAAAACTAAAACCATAAATGAAGAAAAAAACAAATTAAAGTGACAACCAGCCACTCAACAGCTGACACACTACGAAATTATTGACATTGTTTTTATAGTTCAAAATAATTGACTTATTTAAAAAATTTAAAAAGTTGTTGAATTTTATTTTTACATATTTGCCTTTGATTCAATAAATATCAAAGGAGCGATGAAAAATCCACATAATATGAATACGATGAAATATATATATATATATATATATATATATATATAAAATCCTTGACTTAGAGTTAGTTTTATACTTTATTTTTGGTAATTTTAAACTTTTGGTTATTCTACAATATAAAGGTCTTTGCTTTTGAGAAAAGATGCAATATGTGAACTTATTTGTGTGGTTCATTTGTTTTATCACCTTGTTTCTAAGTGTTTTTCATTGTTTTTTTGTGTCAAATCTTAACGGTTAACCCGATAACAATTAATAACCAATAAATCAATAGTCGATAAGTCAATATTTTAATGATTTAACATGTCTACAAATCGATAATAAATAAGTAAAACTAATAAAATTCAAACCGAAACGACCAACACATATCCCTAAATTATTGACCATGTTCAGTTTTATTAAAGAGTAGCATACTACAACTCATTTTCAAATTAACTTTTTTATTGAGCTAAAATTCAATCAATAAATATCATATATTTATTAAAAATGTAATTTTACTATAGTGTATTATATTGTATGAATTTTTGCTTATTCGATAAGACTACATAAAGAAAATTAAGACAATTATGATAATTTTTACAATTTATGAAAATTTTATATTTATAAATATAAAAATACAACTTACAAATCAATATCGCATATTCAAACAAAAATTTGATATTTAGATATAATTTTATATCATAATTTCATATCACACGGCCAAACAGATCGGGGTCTACCATTCTATAAGTAGCACGTGAATGGATTCCATTTTGCAGCAAAAAACATTCTTCAATGGCGACTCTTTCTCTTACCCAATTTTCCTTATCCCTTTTACTCATCACATCATTCTTCTTTTCTCCTTCATCTGCCCAAACTAAATGCAACGTTAACTCCGTCTACCAACTCGGCGACTCCCTCGCCGACGCCGGAAATGTCATCCGTACTCCCGGCGCTTCCATCATCTTCCGCGCCGACCGTTCCCCTTACGGTGAAACTTTCTTCAGAAGACCCACCGGCCGCTTCTCCAACGGCCGCCGTTATCACCGATTTCATTTCTCAATCATTCAAACTCTCATTCCTCAATGCTTATTTAGACAGAGGCGCATCTTTCAGTCAAGGAGTAAATTTCGCCGTCGCCGGAGCTACCGCCCTTGATACATCCTTCTGGACTGCTCGTAACATCCGGTTACCCACATGGAACACTCCGCTTTCAAATCAATTAAATTGGTTCAAAACGCATCTCCAATCGACTTGTGGTTCTAGATGTGCAGAGAATTTGAAAAAGTCGATAGTAATAATGGGGGAATGGGGAGGAAACGATTACTACAATTGTTTCTTCCAGAGAAAGCAAATCACAGAAGTTAGAACTTACGTTCCATTTGTTGTTGCAGGGATAATGAGAGGCATCAAAGAGGTGATTCAGCTCGGAGCAACACGAGTGTTGGTTCCGAGCATTTACCCTCTCGGATGCCTCCCATTATACCTCACATCCTTCCCTGATAACAATACGAGTGGTTACGATCAATTAGGATGCTTGAGGAACTTCAATGATTTCGCTTCGTATCATAATAGATACATGGTTAGGGCTATAGCGAATCTACAACGTGAATTCCCAAATGTTAGCATTGTTTATGGTGATTTTTATGGTGCAATTTTGTCACTTATTCGCAACCCGTCTTCGTTTGGGTTTAATCAAAATACATTGCTGAGTGCGTGTTGTGGAACTGGAGGGAGGCATAATTTTAACTTCAGGACTGTGTGTGGAGCAGCTGGGATTAATGCTTGTGCGAATCCGGCACAGTATGTTCATTGGGATGGAATTCATTTGACAGATGAAGCTCATCGTCGTATTACTGAAGTTCTTGTTAGAGATATGTTAGCCAAATTCAACTGTGTCGTTTAATTGGATTATTTTCTTGCCGTGATCTGAGACAGTGATAAAATCTGCGTATTTTATCCTCCTCCAGACTCATTTATCGGGACTTCATTAAGTATGTTGTTGTTGTATCTTCCTCGCTGTGACGAAGAGAGAATTATTAAGTTAAATAAGAGGATGATTTGGTGTTTGGACTATATTTAATTAGGTTTGTATTGAAAAAAACAGAGTGTTTTTTTTTTAAGTTTAAAATAATGTATTTGAAGTTTTTTTGTTTTGTTTGGGTATAAATTTCATTTTGAAAATAATTGATATTTGGTGGATGACTATACCATTTAAAATCCTCTTTAAATTAATTGAGCCAAATGAGACTACATTTAATTTCATAGAGTTTTTTTTTTCCACTCAGTATCCAATATCCATATTGGAGCTCGACTAAATCTGGACTCGCTCCGAGAAGTCCCACATTAAAGGATAAAGCGCTCCCTAACAAAGGCAATTTCGTATTCAAGGGAACTCGAACCCGAGATCTCTTAATTAAGAATGAAGGAGTACTTACCACTCCACCACAATCCTTGTCGGTCATTTCATAGAGTTGGATAGTCACGAGATGCAAATTTCTTTTTCAAATGGTAATAAAAACAAAATTATGCGTCTCACTCTCCAACTTTTTAGCCTACACTTTTTTTATAAATAATACTCCCTCCATTTTTGTCTAGTTGTCAATTATTTTTGGTCAAATGTATATATTTGACCAACATAATTGACTAATGAATATGAATTAATTAAGTAGTATATTTTTTATATTGGTCAAATTCATACTTTCAAGTCTAAATATTGAAAAATGAATAGTATCAAATATAAAGAATAAAATAGACACAAAATAATAAATTATCTCTAAAAAAAATAAACTAAATAAATAATTATTTTTAATATATTAAACAAGTAAAAATAGATGGAGGAAATATCGATGAGAAAATTTCAGAAATAACAAACATAATAGACATAATAAACCTTTATATTATAACTGTAGTTTCGATAATTGCGCTTCATAATTGTAGTTCCATTTACTAAGGAAGCCATGGTTTGTATATTTCGTTTGCGAATATACAAATTTTGTATTTATACATTAGGAATTTTTCAAAACTTCGTTTGTATATTTCGCTTGCCTATATACAAACATCAAAATTTATTGTGATTTTTTTCATAAATCGTATACAAATAGTTAGAGTAAGCATATACAAATTTTAAATTTATACAATTAGGAACCGAATTATATAAAATTCTAATTTATACAATCCGACGAATTATACATATTAAACTAATAGCAAGATTTGGAAGAAAACTATAATTGTGAATTACAATTTTTCTAAATAATAGCTATAATACTTAATATCATTTAAATATTTACTATTTTATACAATTTTCCTGATTTCGAATGTGTGTCGAAAAAACATGAAGCCAAACAAGATGTCATGGGGCAAAGTGTTGGTTGACATGTTTTCTTACCATAGAGGGATAATGTGTAGGTGTTAATTCCCTATTTATTAATATATGTATAATTGAGCAGCGTTTTCACAACAAATACTTGGCTGGCCATGTGACTCCCACCTTCATCTCTCATTGAAATTACAACCGACACTTTTGACTATTTTCTAATGCTAAGATTCTACCCTCTTCTTTTTTTCTTCTTATTTTTTTTTAAAAATAATTATTAAATTTTAATTTTGCGACATATTTCCTCCGTCCTATATTATATGGATATTTTACTAAATTTTTTTGTCTTATATTACTTAGTCACTTATTAATTTAGGATAAAATTAACTATTGTTTTCCTATTTACCGCTACAATTAATATGGTCTTTGGAAGTCTAAATAATTTTGAAGATGTAGAGTTTTTTTCAAGAGGTTAACTAATACGTCATCTGCCCCTAATTACTTGTTCACTTTTAAATTGATACACATATTTAAAAAATAATGATTGAGATAATGAGTTTACCATTTTATCCCTATTAATTATGAAATAGATAAATTAAAAGCTTAAGAATTCCAAGTAATCTAACTCTCAAGATCTACGAATTAGTATAATCATTTGTATGTTAATCCACGATAAAATCAATGTTTAAATCGAAATATTAGAATAGGAACTCACCTTAGGTGTTTGAGAGAGGACTTTGGGTGTTTCCTTTCTAAGAAGTAGGCTAAAAAATGTAGTGAAATAAAAATTTTGAGCAAGGTTTTAACTTTTGCACGGTAATTTCACAAGACACTCATAACTTTTTATACATAACTCCGATTAACAAATGATTTGATGCGGTAAACCCCAAATTTGATTTCTCATCATTTTGAGATAGATTTCGAATCTCAAAACTCGATTAAACATAATTTGGATCAAAATCACATGCATTTGATTAGTTCAACATAATTCAAACATTCGAAGTGTTATGTTAAGGCAGATCATAGGTTGAGGTCACAGTGGGGTTCATATCGAGAGTTGGGGTCGGGTCCTGGGTTCGATTTGGGTCCCAGGTTGAGGTTTGATTTTGAGGTTGGGGTTAGATCTTGGATCGAGTCCAGGTCGGGAGCTGAAACTCAAGCCGGGGTCAGGTCTTTGGTCGGGGTTAGATCCTGATGTCGAGTCTTGGGTTGGCATCAAGGTCGATGTTGGGATCAGATCCCAGATCAGAGTCTAGCTGGAGTAAGTAGTGGTATAAGGGGTGGTAGAGTTGAAAAAGAGCTTCTGAAAATCTTTTTTCTTACTTCACGTAGAGAAGCCATTTTCCTTAAATTAGAATAAAATAAATTCATTTGAAAGTTATTTTTCAAAATATTTAAGCGAACTAAACGTGAAAAAAATGGAAAATATTTTTTTTATTGTTAAAGTTGATTTCAGTGAACTCATTTAAAGGTTCTAAATTTTTTGGTTTTAAGGAATTAAAGTGGTTTAGAATCATTTATCCCATCATATCATATCCAATCAGTTTTTTTTTCCTTCAGAAAAGGGTCAAATATACCCTTGTACTATCTGAAATAGTTTAAAGGGAAAAAGGACAAATATACCTTTCGAACTTTTAAAAATGGTATGTTTATACCTTTCGTTATACTTTACGATTGTATATACCCTTATCGTCATACTTTTTGGCCATATATGCCCCTACATCAAACGGAAGCGTCATCTCAAACATTTATCCTATTTTATTTTATTTTTACCCTAAAATAATTTTTTTTAATCCCAATTATCCATCCCTTCAAAATTAAGCTTTCCGGCATTTATGCCATGAAGAAGATGAACAACCCGACAGTATGCCATTAAGAAGATGAAATCTGCCTTTACGTGAGCAAATTCACAATCGATTACATCTTTTGGTAGATTTGTTTTGTGTTAATCCCAAGCTCCTCCAGCAACGATAGCTTGCCTTCAAAATCCGGTGAGCCACCGCCGCCGATAGTGGTGGACGTGAATTGCAGAGTGAAAGCAACAACAGATCCTACATCGAAGGACATGAAAGGTATCTTAGGATTCTACGACTTCGGTGGTTGAAACGACACCGTTGGAAGGATATGTTGCCGTGGATCTGGAGTTTCGCCGGACAGAAAAATTCATTGATGGGACGTTAAATTCCTTCGCCATTGATCGGAGATCTAGAAATTATTTATTGTGATGAAATTCGAATCAAATTAAGTGAATATTTTGAACTATTTTTGCTCCAATAGTGGTTGCAGATCTAGATACGTAAAATTTAGGGGTTTCTTCGAGAGAACTTGAAATCGGATGGAGCGAACTCGAAGGATATACAAAGGAGCTTGATTTGTTGATCAATGGATATAATTGGAAGCTTTGAGGTCAACAATGGAGAGAAGCGGACGTCTCTTTGAAGCTAAGGCAGCAAGGACAGTGAATGGATTAAAATAAATTGATTAAAAATAATTAATTTTGGATAAAATAAATTAAATAGGGTAAATATTTGAGATCATGCCACGTGTCTTTCCGTTTGATCCAAATATAACGGATGGTAAGGGTATATACAACCTTAAAGTGTAACGGATGGTATATATATCATTTTTTAAAATTTGAGGGTATATTTGACCTTTTTCCCTAGTTTAAATATACCATTTTTATACTTTTGATCCAAATATACCTCTCTTGTTATACTTTCGATCCAAATATATCCCTCTCAGACTTCCACTATACTTTGGTACAAATTTATTCTTAATTTTAACAGAGAAGCATGTGTCAAACTTAGAATTAAATAACTCACTCCCAATTTTAAATTTCTAAATTTTTCTTTAGAAAGTTTGTTTATTCTGGAAGAATTTCATACCTTTTATAGAAGAAGATGAATCCAAGGGTTTTTATCAAATTTCATTCCTTTTAATTAGGGGTGTACTTGATCAGGTTGGTTCGGATTTTTCAAATATCAAACCAAATCATTTGTGTCAAATTTTTAAAATTATAAATCAAACCAAACCAATAAAACTCGGGTTTATTCATGTTTTTCAACCTCGGAGTTTTTCGGGTTGGTTCGAATTTTCAAATATCAAACCAAACCATTTGTGTCGAATTTTAAAATCAAACCAAACTATAAACCTTGGATTTTTTCGGGTTTTTGAATTTTCCGGTAAAGTATTTATACAAACATATAATTAACTTGTACTCTAAATATTTCTTTAGTCCAACCAAACTACAACTATCTAAGGCGTTTCTTAAGAAAATAATACAAAATATGAGATGAGCGATGACACTAAAATATTCAATAAAAAATAATAATGAAATCGTATAAAATAAATATTGCAAATTGATAAGTCATAATGAAAATGATTATAATTTAAAAGTACTAAATCATGCTAAATAAGTCTAATAAGTATTATTTACATGATTAAACATTAAAGAAAATTAAAATTAGGTTATGTATTTTAAATGTCTAAACCAATGTAAAACTAAAAAATAAATAATCCTTGGTTGGTTTTAGGTACCTCGACACTGCCCGAATCAATGGACAACACATCTGCTCCAAGGGCACACAACCTAGCGACTACATCACAAGTACCTCCTATGAACCCATTGCCAATACGTCCCACGATTACCAATAGCCGAAAAATAGAAGAAACACTAGAGCTAATGAGAGACACTTGAACAGAGATTTTAGTACTAAGGGTCTATTTGGAAAGCCACCTGGTAATTGGAATTGGTGTAATTACTAGGGTAGTAATTACCAGCCTAGTAATTACACTGTCTAGTAATTACATTGGCCTGTTTGGTTGCCACATTGTAATTACTCATGTCCTGTTTGGATGCCACAATGTAATTACACAGTTAAATTTTAAAATACATTAGATTTTAAGTAAATAATATTACTACTTAAATTAATTAATGAATACAAAAGTTTTTTCAAGCCTAGATTTTCCAGCATCACACATCAAAATTATGCTTGAGATGGCAAAAAGAAACTGATTGCACCCTCAGTGATAATAGTTGTGCTTGCAATAATGGCATAACTTGGGTGACATACAAGTGGTGTAGCAGTGAAACAAAAAAAAAATGGAGTTAACAAGATTTGCCATCATGAATGACATCAGACCAAAAATATTTGAAGAAATGTTGCTCTATCATTCATGAGTTGTGATAACAGACTACTCCAAATACATATGAACTTAAGTCCCTTTCAACCTCCATCCACAAGCTAGACTACTCCCATTCCTTTTCCCCACTAATCCGTCCAACGACTAGGATAATTGACAAAAGACAATTTCTTACAATGTTGGCAACTTGTATTGCACATGATTTACGTCCTTGATCTATATGGCATATGCGTACATACGTACTTAGAAGTATATTTTTTGCTACAACATAACCTTTTTTATACAGTCAAGTCACAACAAAACTAAGAGAATCATTCGATCTATGATATTCACCTAATTGCTCTAGCATTCCACATTTGTTGAGCTATTTCATCTCTCAGATTGCACATATATTGTTTATCAGCATCTGTCGGTCCTCGTCCAATGTCTTCTTCATCAGAATCAGAATCAGAGTCAATATCATTCAAACCGTGAGAATCTTCTATTTCCTCTTCCATGTGTTCTTCAAAATATGAATCCTGCCAATTCCACTTACGAATGAAATTATGAAGTATGCAACATGATAGTACAATCCAACCTTGTTTTTTGATGGAATACGGAGGTGGAGTCGTTAATATAGGAATTTTTTTTTTCAAAACAGCAAATGTCCTCTCTACGACATTTTGAAGTTTTGAATGTCTCAAGTTATAGAGCTCACGAGCATTTTGTGGTGCTTGTGTTTTGGCTCCATTCTCTCAAATGATATCGTGCACAACGATAAGGTGCTAGAAAGCCCTTTGTATTTGCATAGCTTGCATCAATAATGTAATATTTTCCTACAAAATTACAAGTATCAGCTTGTACTCTTTAGAAAAATAAATAATATCACTATTTGAATTATTAGTAAATTACCATTTGGAATTTTCAATCTATTTTGTGATCTTTCCCAAACAGCATTTCTTAACACTCTAGAATCCGAAGCAGAGCCTTCCCAATGACTAAGCACGTATTGAAACTTCATATCAAAATCTACAACAGCAAGGACATTTTGAGAAAGAACTCCTTTACGATTTCTATATCTCGGTTGTTCTTCCATGGGTATTAGTGCAGGAATATGAGTTCCATCTATAGCTCCAACGCAATCCTTCAAAAAGCTTACAATAAATTTTAAAATATGACACAAAACAACTATAAAATTTTAACTAGTAAAAATAAATGTAATGCTAAAAACTAACCTTGAACCAAGGATAAAAAAATAGGATTAGAGGATATTTCATGCGAGATATCTTTTCCTTGCCTGTTTCACATAGTATTTCCCTAATCGGAGACAAGCTTTCAAGCACTTGTTAAAATAACGACTAAATGTTGAAAACGATTTTGCACAACTCTATTCCTTTCATTATGAGCTAACGTAAATAAAAATATAGCCAGTTGTTCTTCAACTCTAACCATTCTTGAATCAGTTAATAGACCTCTTGTTTTCATCTCATCTGCAAATTGCAAGAAACATCCAACATTCATACGTAATAGGTCATAGCATCCACGAGGATGTCCTTCAATCAAATATTTAATAAAATCTGCTCTAGTTAAAATTGATCCGTGCACTCTTTTTTTGGATCCAACACCAAAATAACTTGCAATGATACTAATTAAAAGTACACATTTTGCCAGAAACACCATGACATGATCATCCTTTGCCATCCTATTTGACAAGTAAATGAATTAATTCTAGAATAGATAATCTAGAAGTAAATAAGATACCAGCCCAAAACGTCATTCGAACAACAAAATATGCTTTTAAACGACATCACTCAATATAAACCAAGTTTGCGCATGACCCATTTCTTTCTAAGCTCTGGAGGCATAGCAGCAAAAAATTCAGCATTTCTCTTATCTACAAGGAGGTCAACAGTTTGCATAGTCCATTCATCATCCAAGTCTAATTCCAATATCAAAGGCATTAATTTTTCAGCGGAAGTGTTTTTTGGTTCATGTTGTAGCCTTATTTGTTCTTCAGCTATTGCTGTCCATCGATCAACAGATTTTGCCAAGCTATTTCCAATAGAATTCTTAATTCTCTTTGGACGTGATGTCAAAGTTGGTTGCTCATCTAAATGCCTTTTTCCTGCTCTCTTTTCTTGATTAGATGATTGAGTTATTTCAGGACTAGTAAAGTTCATGTTCTGAACAAAATATCCATCATCCTAGTCAACAAATTGTGTATCTTCAGTAGGTATGGTAACTTTTTCAGCAGCTATATCATCATCGGTGAATTCACTTTGAAAATCCTCGACATCATTAATTTCACACCCATTCCTACCATCAGCGACAATATCTCCAAAAATTAATGCCAAAGTATTATAGTCTGGCAACGTCTTCGTCCTATACTTAGAATCTTTTGGGTGTGCCTATTATATTATCAATAGTCTTAAATCAGAAAATAAATAACATAAATTTAAACTATATCGAAAAAAAAAAGAATATATGTAACTCACTGCAAGGTATTGCTCCCAGACATCATCTTCAACATCAACTTTTCGAGTTTCTTCATTCCACCCAAATCCACTATGTTGTGACATTCTCTTCATAGTAGCATATATCTTCTTCAAAGTCCTCATCCTATTTTTCATTTTAGTCTTATCTAATTTGTCCCCATATAGCTTGTTCATTTCTTTTTCTACACTATCCCATCCTTCGGTGGTTAAGCCTCCTGGTTGCGTTCTTCCTAACTTAACTTGTTCAGCAATAAAGTAAATGAAATGTTCATCTTGAACTTCACTCCATTTGGTGTATGGTTTTCCAACCTTAGGTGTTTGGTTAGTTGTCATCCTACATAAATGAAAATATTAAAAATTTCAAGGCAAAAAAGTACTTCACTAAAGTAGGCTTTGATGTTAATTTGGCAAGGTGAACTTGATTGTTCTTAGAATAACATGAGGAGTAATTTACATCATGCTCACATTTACCGAATGACTATGACTAATCACATATATCAAGTGTGGCAAGAGAGGAATCGAAAATTATTTTGATTTGACGCATCATCCAGGAAGTGATGTACAAGGCCAGTTTCAAGCCCAAGCTAGCACCGAGGACAGCAAACCTGAACTGTTAACCCATTTAAAGTTTGTTTGGTAGGCTGACTAGGAGTTGATATTTTGTTTTGCTACTTACTATAGCTACCAGTGACAATATTATGCACTGTAACAATCAACTAATATACAATTTTAAATACAAAGAGTGTAAATGGAAAGAAACCAAGAGCAGAGGTGTATCGATTGATGCAAACTTCACAACCTGAAGTCGTCAAATTACAGTTCTCAGTCACTCTTGTACCAACTCACTAATACACCAACAGTTGCACAGATGATAACATAAACACCAACTAAATCAACAAGATTTCCACCCATACCAACTGACATTCACCGATCAGAACCAATCATAAAAATAAAGTAAATATGCAGATCTTATCTTTAGTATTTCTATAATATCATGTGCCCTTCATCAACTTAATACCTAGAGCCTACAAGTAAATACGCAGCCCAATCTCAATAGAAACAAACAGTGAAAACAACCATAAAAATCCTCAACAAATATTGGCACAAATCATG